ACTCCCCCCTCCCCTTGGCGGCTACCCCCCTAACAAAGCCCCGAGGACAGCGGCTGCTGGCCCTGCCTTCGCAGGGACGGCGACAGGGCTGAGTCTGACGGCTTCTCAGGCTTTGAGGCGGGGCGGGGGGGGTCGTGTAGTGGATGCCTTGGTGCGTGGGTGAAAGCTGTGGATGTGGGATCTCTCCAAGACAGGGGAAGCAGTGCAGGAGGAATGGGCTTGGGTTGGATCCTCGGCCTCCAGAAGGCGAAGAAAATGGCACTTGGTTTCCATTCTGTCTATTGGGAAGTCTCTTGCAGAATGCTCTTAGAGTCGCTGAGTGCCCAGCACCGTCCCTAGGTTACAAGCAGCCTGAAAATCTTTCTTAAGCCTCTTCGAGTGACTTTCATTTGCCTATAGTTGTATGTCACATGTAGTTATGATATAAGGTATACCTCTTCTCAGACATTTGTTTTGTTCTCCTTAAAACATGAAGACAGCATTTCCTACTTCATTGGTGCCAACTCTCTGGCAAAGTGGGCTGTGAGGACGCACTCTAGAGCTGTAGGTGACCTAATTAATATATATCCAGCGGGTGTCAGGATACAAGCAGGGAGTATCTGTTTTCTGTTACGATACAATGTGATGTGCGTGGCCAAAGTGTAACTGCCCTAGCAGCATCATGGATACATATCACATAAAATAATGGGTGTATATGGGTGTTTTAACTTGATTCTGGGAGCACAGATCAGCTTTTCTAGGTGAAGGAACACGCTCCTGGCTTGTTCATGTGGCATATTTAATGTCTGGCCATACAATGAAAAAAGGAGTGGAGGGTATCACAGTAAAAATGGGGTAAAGAGTAGGCTGGGGTTCAGATGAGTTATTGTAAGAGTTTGCAGATCTGTTTGCCCATGTCTTATTAGAGGTTTAGGTTTATTGTTTATGGTCCTGCTCCTACAGAAACCTTTGTTCACACGTATCTTGTGAGTAGTGGTATTCATATGCTTAAAGTTTCTGCAGTATCAAGGCATTTCTTTCTACACAGTCTGAAGGCCTGTATTATTCATCTAAAGTAAAATGGGAAATGCACATTAGTCTAATTTAGATTTCACAGATCAGGAAACAATCAGGTAAAGATAGAGAAAGAGAATATAAGCCTTTTTTTGTAGATTTCTCATGTTTTATAAGAGGTCTAATCTTTTTTTGTTGTTCTTAATTGCAGGTAGCCCTACTGTTTCTGGTATGTCTGATATGGATTATCCTTTGCAAGGACCAGGTTTGCTGTCAATACCTAATCTTCCAGAGATCAGCTCAGTCCGCAGAGTCCCACTTCCCCCAGAGCTAGTGGAGCAGTTTGGACGTATCCTTATGAAAAATAACGTGTTAGGTTGTGTAAGTCATATATTAGAAACAAACTTTTTTGTTCCATAATCTTCTTCCCCAATCTTTCTGTCAGACTCCCAGTAATGAACTTTGATATTGTTCACGTTCCCTTCATAAGGCTCCAAGTGGTAACAAGGTCCATTTGTGTAGTTGCTGGTGGAATTAGTTTCTGTATGAAGAACTTAGAATGTTTATGGTACTAGTTTGTGTACTACTGTATATAAAGTAATATCAATTTTTTTTTAAATGTTCTGAAGGGGATTTTGCCTTTGCTAGCCAAAAAGCATTTAGTTCTTACATCAGCAGTGCTTCAGATATGCAGTGCAATTGTATGATGGGAGTATTTCCGGAAATCAGCAGAGCTTGGCTGACCATTGACAGTGACATTTTTATGTGGAACTATGAAGATGGGTATGTAGAGAACACGTTTCTGATTATATTTGATTGGTATTGTACTGGAATTAAGTGATAGCAGTAGTGGGAGATTGTTTACTGGTAGCACAGAGGTGTGCTATTCAGTTTAACTTACCTTGATTCCTTTTAGGTTTTACTAAAACTTTAATAAGTGTTTAAGGATTTTTAAGAGTTAGTAATATTGCTGCCAAGTCATCTAGAGAGGAAAGAAAGGAAAGTGCATTTGCTTAGGGTCAGACATAGCTAATATCCTAAAGTTATTACTGTATTTGTGCTAGGGCTTTGCTTATGCCAAAAAAAGTAGAAAAAAATTATAATAATGGCCTAACTTTTCTAAGTAGATTCAGTAAGTCCTCTGATGCATGTACAGTGGCCAATCATTCCCACAAGGGTAAGTAATACAGCATTAATACTTTGAAGTATTGTGATTGAAGCTCTCCTGCCTAGCTTGTTTTAAGGATGCATAAATCTGAATATAATTTCATTATATTTTCAAATGGCAGTGATATGTTTATAATTTGCAGGTTTGCTTCTTTATTTGCCTATATAGTAAGAACTCTTTTAGTAAGAATTGCTGTATACGTTTTGTCGCATTTCCTAAGAAGACTAAAGTTCAGATTGTGGCTCACATGGCTCCTATCCATACATTTACATTGTGTCATAGTGTATTAAATACATTCCCCAACAAAACAACACTGCATGGTGTTAATTATAACGTGCTGGGGAGGAGGTTTGGAATTCTTGCTTTAGATAATTTTCATGGGGAAACTGTAAGTTCCTCCCTCTTGATGTTAATCAGCATTGCAGGTGCTGCATTATGTAATTCAGAGTAAACTGTATGAATTAACAAAATCCAAAATATAAAATTCCCCAGTTGGGTTTCGGGTTTGAAACTCAGCTATAGGGGCTCCAAGCAGCTCAAATGATTGCCTATATAATTTTGCTGTGAAACTTCTCTGTCATTCCATTCTGCTGGACCTGCTTTCACCCAAAGCAGATCATGTAGGTGGCTTCAGAGTATTACAATAAGTATTAATAATTTTTAAAGATACAAAACCTGATTTTATTTACTTTGTTATTACGTGATACTATGTGACAAGTTTTATGCAGGTTTGGGTTTTTTTTTCTTGTTTGTTGACAGGGGAGATCTGGCTTATTTTGATGGCCTTAGTGAAACTATTCTTGCAGTGGGTCTTGTAAAGCCGAAAGGAGGTAAGGAATATATGACAGTGACTAGAATTAGGCAGTTACTTATATGGTTTTTTTATATATACATATGTGAAAATCTGTGTTTTCTGTGTGTGTATGTATGTATACACAAGATACATGGGTTTGTTTTGTTTTTAGAAACATTATGAAATTAATTACAAGCCAAAAATAATGTATAGTTTAACAATCATTTACACTGATAAGCTTGCATTTTTTTGCCACATCATACTCTTAACATTTGTACTGTTTATAAATTTACACATTCAAGTGATAACTTCCATGAGATCCTGGTTTCTAGCCCTCCCAGTTCTTTTGGTGGCTACTGCTTAGATAACATTGAAGTCAAAGTTGAATTGGAAATAGAGTTGAATTTAAAAGAAGCACGTTTATAAGAAAAATGTCATTTTAAAGATCCTGTATTTCACGAACTGGAAGCTGAACTGCTGACTGAATACTTCTTTCTAATTCTAGAGTTTCATAGATCATTAGGTCTTAAACATGACTATTCCCTCTAATCAGTCAATGTGTCTTTACAGTGGATACATTGGATACATCATTGTGATCTGAGAGGTTGGCTGCAAACAAAGATTTTATTTTCTCCCCTTCTTTAGGTATCTTCCAGCCTCATGTACGACACTTACTTGTTCTGGCTACCCCCGTGGATATTGTGATTTTAGGGCTCAGTTGTGCTAATATACAAGCAGGTAATTCTCTCTTCCCTCATTCTCAGTTGTGCATTAACAAGTATACATGGCTGTTTTGTTAGTAACCATTTAAAAAATTAAAAAAAAAAAAAAGGAAAACAAGACCATGTGCTAAGCGCCTTGCTAATTTTTAAATCATGTTACAGTCAGGGGGAAATAATTTATATGGGGTGTGCACTTGCTGGATCCTGGACTCCCATAGGAGCATGGAGTTGTATTATTCACCTGTTTAACGTGAAAAGAGCTTTTGAAACAGGTACTCCTGTTAAACAGCATGTTGGAGGGGGAGAGAAGAGATGGGCATGAATCTTGGAACTGGTGAATAGAGTTCATTAACCTGGTTGGCATTTGTATTCCAGCCAAAGAAATTGAGAACCTGGTAACTTTTTTTTATGCCATATATATTAATAGAGAAAATACAGAATTGTTTGGAGAAAGTGAGAGGATTACAATTTTTTGCTCTCTTTTTATACTATCTTGATGTGAAAGAGAAAAAAAGTAGAAATCTGTGTTTTAGACTTGTTGTGATTTAGAGGAGATGACAAAGTATAGAAATTAAAAACATGGCATTTCCTTACTTGGAAACTTATACCGAGAATTTACTTTACTTTTTTTAAAACCAGAAGATTTGTTACTCTGCAGTTCACTTTGGAGAATAGCTATTCCAGAATATGTTTAGTAATTATGAAATTTGCTGTAATTTTTCCCATTTTCCAAAATGCTTCTTGTCACAGACCTGTACTATTTATTAGAACAACTTAAAAACTAGAGAGGGTTTATTTATTTACTTGTTTATTTATTTAAAGGTACTGGATCGCTCAATGACAGTATGTCTGGCGGAATGCAGCTGCTACCAGACCCTCTCTATTCGCTCCCTACTGACAATACTTACATTCTGGCAATAACATCCACTGATAACGGGCGTATCTTTCTGGCTGGAAAAGATGGCTGCTTATATGAAGTAGCATACCAGGTGACTATAGGTTTTACACACAGGCATTTTTATTGTTTCATGGTTGTGGGATGTAGGCACTAAGAGTTCTAAAACATCTCAGGTCTGCCGTCTTTTTTCTTCCATAATTATGTAACATGGCTTGGTTGCCCGACAGCTCTGACGTCATATGCGTTTTCTTTAAAGAAGTAGTAATTATATGAGGAATAGCAACGCAGCTTTGGTCAACTTCAAAATAAAATTAAAATTGTGACATCCTGCACTCTTTTTTATGTAAAATTTTCATTTTAATGATCACCTATTTCTTTCAATAGAATAGTACATACTTTTTCAATTAAATCAGTGGTGGGTAGTTAGATTTTTACTTGTTTTCATACTTGTCCTATTAACGACTTTTTTAATATAACTACTACTTTGGGTTTTGTTTTGTTTTTCAACGCTGTATTTGTTTTAAATTGTAGGCTGAAGCAGGCTGGTTCAGCCAGCGCTGTAGAAAAATTAATCATTCAAAGAGTGCGCTGTCTTTCCTTATTCCTTCATTGCTACAGTTCACATTCTCAGAGGATGGTAAGTACTGATGTTAAAGATTTGCCCAATAATTTAATGTAACCTTTTAAATAATACTACCAAGAAGTCAGACTGAATAGTTTCCTCATTCAGAGCATTTAGTTATTGTCAATGAAACTTGCAGTGCTTGATGATTATAAAAATCAGGTCACTTGTTTGTGTGTCTAGTTCAGGATATAGATACCAAAGCCTGGAAAGTTTGACATTTATGACTAAAGTTAGTGTTCCGTAGTACAAAATTAATACGTGCTTAGTGGGATCACTGCAAACAGTAGAATCTTTAAGTAAATAATTTTACTCTGTTTCACTGTTTAGTGAAAAATTAATTTGAAATTATTATACAATTTTTTGCCTGTTTTTTTTTTTTTTTTTTTAGTTTACTAATAATTGTGTGAAATTGATTGCTGTTTTAAATCAGTTCCGGTAGGAGTCCTGTGTGGGACTCCTGCGGTTTTTGTTAACTTACAACTAATTATTTTATAGATACTCTGCCTTAAACTTGTTTTCACCAAATCCAGTGTTGATTTGCTGGTTCTCTCTTTTCCCCCCGCCACCTCCCCAGATCCTGTAGTCCAAATCGCCATTGACAACTCTCGAAATATCTTACACACCCGCTCAGAAAAAGGAGTACTGCAAGTATGTGACTTCTTCTAATGACTGTTGGCTGTGTTACTAAAGTGTATATAACTTTAAGTTTTCCTCAGTATCTGGGAATCTCTGTAGGTATGTCCGGGTATTATTTCAGTTTATGTTTTTGTAACAAAGTGTGTGCTGAAGACCTAAGATGCTTTCTTCTGAGGAAGGAGTAGCCTTTTGATCTTCCCCTCAATTATAGGGAAACATGAGGATGAAATAAAAATAGGGTTTGAGTTGCTGCTTGATAGCTCAGGCTGTATGAATTAATTCAACCGTAAATCACTAAGCTGTATTATTGAATTGCAGGTTTACGATTTGGGACAAGATGGTCAAGGAATGACCAGGGTTACTTCTCTTTCACAAAATGCTATAGTTTCTGCTGCTGGGAGCATTGCCAGGTATATTTATGATAGTTATAATGTAAGAGGGTTCCTTTAAGGCCAATAGTTTCATGCTATATTTTTGAAGAATGTTATTTGCTTATTTCTTCGGGTTGAGAGTGTATGGGGTTTTTTCATTTTGTTTTTTAGAACAATAGATCGTTCTGTATTTAAGCCTATTGTTCAAATAGCAGTGATTGAAAATTCTGAATCCATAGACTGTCAACTACTAGCAATCACACATGCAGGTAAGAAAGCAATGCTAATTGCCCCACCTTTTAAACTGATAAATGGCATCTGCACAGTTTAGCAAAATTGTGACCTTTTTTAATCTCTTGTTCAGGTGTCCGACTGTATTTTAGTACTTCACAATTTAAGCATCCAACAGCACGTCCCTCCATGTTAACCTTGGTTCATGTCCGTTTGCCTCCTGGATTTTCAGCTTCTTCTAATGTGGAGAAGCCCGCAAAGGTTCACAGAGCTCTTTATAGCAAAGGTAAGCAGTGGAACATGGCTCAGATGAGATTGACCTTTTTTCTTTTTTTTTTTATTTTTTTTTGTGACAGTCACTATCACACTGTTTTTACATTGGGGAGCTTGAAGCAGTGGGTATAACAGAACTAAGCATGGCTTCTGTGTGTTAATGGGAGAGTTTTTGGAAGTGGAAGGTTGTCATATTGTTCAGAATTTAGTTCTTCTGCAAGGTGCAGTGTTTGAGCAGAGAACTCTGTTCATGTGTTGATCAACCTTTTATTCTCTCCCCATAAAATGGATTTAATGTGGTCAAATTCGCCTACATGTCTCTAGCCATTAGTGTGATTAGTTCTTGAAAGCAGGGGATAGAATAGGCTTCTTACCTATTTAATGCCTCTCATGCTGAGTTTAGCGTGTGCTGACTGTTCTTTATTTTTTAACTCCTTTAGCTACTGATACCATATAAGATACCAAACAGCTGCCAGATGGTTCCAGCTTTATGTCACTTCTGATTGTAGGCTGAATTTTTAAAAGTGCTGCAGAAATGGGGGGGGATGTCTCTACGTTACTGACCCTTTTAGTCATACATACTGATTTTTATCCTTGAAGTAATTTCCGGATGTTTTTTCATCCATGATCTCTTTAAACATCTCATTTTTGAGGCATGTTCTACCTATTTTACACGCATTTTTGTTTGTACCTTTTAGAGTAGGTGGCAAATGGTTTTCAACTGACCTTCTGAAAAACCCTATGACATACAAACTCAGGAGATATTATTTGCTGTTCCAATTGTATGATTAGGACTTAAAGATTGATTTTTGCTAAATAAGGAATGAATTAATGAATTTGCATCTAATGCATGATTATTGCTTCTAATACAAACTTAATATCGCTGTTCTTGCTAGGGGTGCTGCTGATGGCAGCTTCAGAAAATGAGGATAATGACATCCTGTGGTGTATCAATCATGATTCTTTCCCTTTTCAAAAGCCAATGATGGAAACACAGGTATTAAAGCAAACTTATATACAATTTTGGTGGAATCTAGATATTGTTTTTTCCTTTCTGGTAACAGGTACTTGAATAATACTATCTGCAAGAAATGGGTAGTTCACAGATAACTTCCATGAGGAGTTTGGAAACACAAAGCTACTAATCGATACGCTTCAAAGAAAAAAAAAAATAGTGGGCAGTTCAGTCAGTGAATGGGAACTGAGCTCTTAGTAGGAATTCCTAGTTCAGCCATACTTTCTAGCTTGATGTAAGCTATGTATCAAAAGCAATTGCCTTGACTTCTAAGACTTGACTTCTAATTAACATATTTGAAAATATTGTTGTCTATAGCATGCTGCATATTGTGCACAAGCACAGGAAGACATGGTCCACAGTCCATAGTGGTGTTTGATGAGGATAAAATTTGGCAAAGATTGTTTGAAATGTAGGCGCTAGAGACTTTGGGTTTCTTTATTTAAACTGAAATGCCATGTCTTCATTAAATTTCACACATGTAAGCTTGATTAATGATTAATCTCTTCATTATTTCATTTTTTTCCCCCCTGATTTTCTTTTTCCTAATTGTTTCATAAATGGGTTTGTAAGAGGGGTTTGGAAGGGGTTAGTTGCCTTATGCGTCAGTTCAGGGGGAATATTTCATATATTCCAGCTCTGAAGGAAGTCTGAAGTCTTCTGCTGAAGTAGAGGAGTGACATGTCAAAAATAGTATTATTGGAGGAGCAGTAGTAGAGTTGGAGTGAATGGAGAGACTGTATAAGTTAAAAGTTTCAGTCAGGTTTTAATTTATCTGCTGTTTTAATAACTTACAAAGGAGCTTTATAATTACTCCAGATCCCTTCCCTGCAAAAACTTACACATACATTTCCTAAGTGCTGACCTCTCTCTTTTTTCCAAGGCATTTGACAGCAACAGACAGCTAGGTTACCCAAACAAAGCTGCAGCCTGTTCTTGAGCAGCTGTTCTTCCTTCTTAGCATACATAGTTTTCTGGAATGTCTTCACTACCATATGTCTCTTCTCGAGTTATATTTGAAGTACTGCTGCCAACTGTGAAAGTCTTGTAAACCTTTATGATTCAGTTGCAACATTTTTGATTCTTTAAGAAACAATTTAAATTCATGATACGTTTGGTACTTAGTTCTGATATGGTTAGCAGATTGTTGCTATTTATGTTGTAGCAGCTTTAAAGGATCCCACTTTGCAAGTTGTTTTACACTTAAATACAAAACACTATCCCTGTTCCCCAAAAGAAGCAATATATTACTAACCTGGTGGCCTTCTATGATGGAGTGACTACATCAGTGGACATGGGAAAGGCTACAGATGTCGCCTATCTGGACCTCTGTAAGGCTTTTGACACAGTCCCCCACAACATCCCTCTCTCTAAACTGGACACGTATGGATTTGATGGGTGGACTGTCCGGTGGGTGAGGAATTGGTTAGATGGTCGCATCCAGAGGGTAGTGGTCGACGGCTCAATGTCCAGATGGAGGTTGGTGACGAGTGGCATCCCGCAGGGGTCCATATTGGGACCAGTACTGTTTAATATCTTCATCAATGACATAGACAGTGGGATCGAGGGCACCCTCAGCAAGTTTGCAGATGATGCCAAGCTGAGTGGTGTGGTCGACATGCCTGAGGGACGGCTATCCAGAGGGACCTAGACAAGCTGGAGAAGTGGGCCCGTGTGAACCTCATGAGTTTTAACAAGGCCAAGTGCAAGGTCCTGCACCTGGGTCGGAGTCAACCCCCAGTATGAATACAGGCTGGGGGATGAAGGGATTGAGAGCAGCCCTGCCGAGAAGGACTTGGGGGTACTGGTGGATGAAAAGCTGGACATGAGCCAGCAATGTGCGCTCACAGCCCAGAAGGCCAATCGTATCCTGGGCTGCATCCAAAGAAGTGTGGCCAGCAGGTCGAGGGAGGTGATTCTGCCCCTCTACTCTGCTCTGGTGAGACCCCACCTGGAGTACTGTGTCCAGCTCTGGAGCCCTCAGCACAGGACAGACATGGACCTGTTGGAGTGAGTCCAGAGGAGGGCTACCAAAATGATCAGAGAGGACTGGAACACCTCTCCTATGAGGAGAGGCTGAGAGAGTTGGGGTTGTTCAGCCTGGAGAAGAGAAGGCTTTGGGGAGACCTTATTGCAGCCTTTCAGTACTTAAAGGGGGCTTGTAAGAAAGACCAGGACAGACTTTTTAGCAGGGCCTGTTGCAACAGGACAAGGGGGAATGGTTTTAACCTAAAGGGGGGTAGATTTAGACTAGATATAAGGAAGAAATTTTTACACAGAGGGTGGTGAAGCACTGGCACAGGTTTCCCAGAGAGGTGGTGGATGCCCCGTCCCTGGAAACATTCCAGGTCAGGTTGGACGGGGCTCTGAGCAACCTGATCTAGCTGAAGACGTCCCTGGTCATTGCAGGGGGGTTGGACTAGCTGACCTTTAGAGGTCCCTTCCAACCCAAACTATTCTATGATTCTGTAATTATTCCCTGTCTCCCAAAAGCAGCAGTATATATATAGCTGTAAATTCAGTAGCAACCTTCTGTTGGACAATACAAGAACTTGATAATTTTCTTTGGGTTGTCTTGTATCAAGGGTAGATTCTATTCTGTGTAATTTTAAATGGTAAACAGTAAAATATCACTGTGGATGTGCAAAATCCATGTTTGTTACCAAACTTTGGATAATATCTTATCTGTTCAGATGACCACCCGTGTTGATGGACATTCCTGGGCTCTTTCTGCTATTGATGAATTTAAAGTTCAGAAGATTGTAACACCCCTAAATAAAGACATTATTCCAATAACTGATTCACCTGTTGTTGTGCAGCAACACATGCTGCCACCTAAGAAGTTTCTTCTGCTTTCAGCCCAGGTGAGTATTACTTTTCTTAATATAGGAAATCAGAAGAGTAAGTATAAAGTTGGAAGACTGATCTAAACCTGTAAATGTTTATTCATTTTGGATATGCTTTAAGGATTATATTCTGAACATAAAAAGGAATAAGGAAGAAGATTGCTGAAACCATCTGTACCTATTTTAAATTTACTCAAAGCTATTGGGCCAGCTTCTCTTGCGCAGTGTAATAGTAACTTTTCTTGGTCTCCAGAGACCCCTGTAGATACAGATCATCTCAGAAGTTCCTTTAACCTTGATACTCATGATTATATGAAATTGAAACAGACACTGGCTGCCCAGAAAATATAGTTTGAGTAAATACTGTTGGTAGTTGAAATTTGAATAAATAATTTCTTCTTTGTCATAGAAGAAGTCCCAAAAGGTTTTTTTGAAAGGGTTTTAAAAAACAAAACCTATAAAAAGAAAATAAATCAACTTCCCTACTTCTCTTTTCTGATTACATTTAGCAATATTTTAGGGCATTTAATATCTTAACCAATAGGCAGTTTTAAAGAAGAAATGTTTAATCATTAATGTCTTGCAACCTCTAGACTCAACCTGCATTTGTTTAATGGCAGCTGTTTTGTTAAAGGCACTAATCGGACCCTCTCCAGTAGTTAGTATGAATGCAGGCAAGATGATTGAGTGTAGAGTCTTACCATGCCCTTGATCCTGAATTCTTCAAGCATTTTTTTTTCCAGGCAGTTTTGAGGATTTGCAAGATGCATAAAGCCTTTCTTTTCTGTATATCCTTGCTATATGTTTGTATTGTATGCTTCATGTTAGGCTAAGAACAGCAAAATTAACTCGGTTTATGGAGAATTTATAGCCATTGCAGTACCTTTCCTGCTTTTCCTAGACTCTAGGGAATTTTCTGCTTGTGAATGGGAACTGGGCTTTAGGCACCATTCCCATTATACTTTGATCCAACAGTGCAACAAAGGAAAATTCAGAATGCTAAAGATAAGCAGTGTGGGGAAGGGGTGTTGGGGTGGCCAGAGTAAAGACAACTTTATTCTAACTTATTTTGGGTTACTTTTAGGGGAGCTTTATGTTTCATAAACTCAGACCTGTTGATCAGCTGCGGCATCTGCTTGTTAGCAATATAGGTGGAGACGGAGAAGAGATTGAAAGATTTTTCAAGTTGCATCAGGTAAGATCTTTTGACTTGTTATGAAAAATGGAAGATTTATTATATTTATGTAAATCTAATCACTTCCTTTAGCATCTTTTTGTTGTTGCTATAAACTTCTAGTTAACATTTCATTTAGTATTAGCTTTTCCTCCTGTATTGTCTACATAAAACAAGATTGTATGATGAGAAATAACTTCTCATTTTATGATATCTAAAAATGGAAGTGTAATTCACTTTCCCTGAAATTCTTATGTCTTGTACGCAGAAGTATAATGCAGTTCTTATTTAGGAAGGAAGTTCATCTAAGTGCAGGGGAGGAAAAGTTTCTAAAAAAGTTAAATTCCTACCACTACAAGAGGTTTTTACATTTGGAAGGCCAGTAGAAATGTGTATAATTGGTCTATTTTTTTGTTTAAGATAAATAACAGACAAGCAGGAAGGAAGCTATCGTGGATTACGATTTTAATTTGACTAGTGCTGATTAATATCTGTAGTGAATGTTCACTGTAATCTGTTCTCTTGTGCTTTGATAGGACATACTAAGTGATATTGTAACATGCCATTAGAATCTGCAAACCATTATTTGTGTAGGTTTTTTTCTTCAAACACAATCTTAACTTACGTTTCTGTAGAAATTGTATGAATCTTAGTCATAATTAGGTGACAGACATGGAGATTGTTTCCGACCAGCAATTGTACTGAGTTTGCAAAAACTGTATGTAACAAAAACTTACCTGCTACAGTGGGATGCCTCACTATGATTCACTTCCTGTCTACAATTGGGAAGAGCTGGTTTCCTTGCCTTCTAAATAAAATGACTGTGTAGTTATTGAGCTATATAACTTCTATATGTTTCTTACCAACTTGATATCAGCTGCCATACTAATAGTATAATATGCTCTAGGAGGATCAGGCCTGTGCCACTTGCCTTATCTTGGCCTGTTCTAATGCTGCATGTGATAGAGAAGTATCTGCCTGGGCTACTCGAGCGTTCTTCAGGTAAGTTTCAATTCTGTAGGTTGTTCTGCATATTATGCTCAGGATCATTACAGCCACTAAATAATCGTACAGGCTTTTTAACCTGCTGCCTGTGTGAGCATTGTTTTAAAATGAGCACAGACTGTTAAACCTGGTGGCATATGCTTTTGCACTAATTTAGGGCTCATCAACAAAGGAAGCTTCCTGTAATGGTGATTTCTGGTTAGTTCCACTCTTGGATGCTTGTATTCCACATGTAGAGGAGGCTATTGAAAATGTAGTTTAATCTGCTTGAAATGTACTTATCTTCACAGTATCCCAGTTCATTGAAGTGCAGCATGTAGTAATATCTTTAATGAGACCAACTCAGACAGCTGGAAAAAAAAACAGACAAATTTTTAAATTTTTGTGGGGTTTTTGGGTTTAGTTTGGTTTGGGTTTTTTTCTTAACGTATTGTAGTTAATTATGCTATTCACCATTGCGCCAAGGAAATTTATATTCAAATGGACTTAGCCTGTACAGGGCCTGATGGCTCTTGGTCACAGATGTTGATTTTTTTGTTATGTTTTGTTTGGGTTTTTTTTTGTTGGTTTGGTTTTTTCCACTACAAACAGAGTAAGCAAGTATGGGCTTCCACTCTGGAGGATTAATTTGTCATCTGTGTATCTTAAGTACTGCATATCCTTGGTATGGTGCAGATAGGTATATTTTAATTAGCTGCCTTAAACAAGTTGGTATATTGTGGGTCTCTTGGCTGTCTTCACCGGGCATGTAGCCTGGAGGAAAAAAAGGTTTTGGTAAGATACAGCTTTTGAGAGTGATGATAAAATGTGCAGACTTGACTTTATGTGCTAGGGTTCAAGTGTTATGTTTCCAAAAGCTTGCTTGTTCTTTTCCAAAACTTGTGCAGGTGTTATATCGAGTCAGCTATTCTCAGCAGGCTGTGAATAGTTGCTCTTTGTTAAACTCAATTACATTACAAAATCTGAGAGAAAAAGTGGATGACAACTCTGGAGAGATGGGTATTAGCAAGGGGAGATGTAACAAAAGTGCTCATGTAGCACTATAGGAGAGAGATGGATAGAAATTACTTGTGCAAAATAGAAGGATAAGCATGGGTCATCTCAACTGTGTCCTTATTTCCATTTTCCTGCAGAGGCAAACCTTAAAAAGATACTAAAGCATAAGCCTAATTTTAAGGATTGGTAAATTTCTCTTTAAAGCCTGATCATATCACCACAGAACTTACCCACAAAAAAAATACTTGGTTGTTCATCTAACTTACCTTTGCAATTGCGTATGTTAATGCTTTTCATATAACATGTATTCCATTAGTTTTCTTCTGCCAAAAGTATCATACAGTCACAAATACTTCTGAAAAGTTATGCTGTTTTTTTTATTCCCTATTTTAAAAGAACCCCAAAATTGCTCTTAATTCTCAAAGACATGAAAATTAAATGGACTGTATATGAAGTGTAAGGAATTTTTGTCTTTGCATGTAAACTTTAGGTATGGTGGAGAAGCACAAATGAGATTTCCGTCAGCTCTGCCTCCTCCGAGCAATGTTGGACCTATTTTGGGTTCTCCTATTCCTGCTAGTAAGTAGCAAGTATTTCATGGTTTTGGACAGGTTTTTATCCTTAAATATGTTGTATTTTGTCTTCTCACAAGTTGTGTTCTTTTTGTCTGAAATAGTCCTTGATTTTCTACTCACTGGCTAATTAATTACAGAGTTTTTTCCATTTCTCTTGAGTGATTTTTGGATTTAGTGAGAGGGTGATGTGATCTTAAACTATGTCTGGATGTTGCATATAATCTGTTAAGATTATGTGAAGAAGGTATACACTTGTTGCTGCCGGAGGCACTTCAGCAGCCAGAGAACAATTTATCAATACTGTAGTTCAAACTTTACAAAGATTATTTGGTTGTTGTGTGGCTATAGCAGAGTTGTCTTACGGTGTCTTACAGTGTAAGAATACAGTGTATATCTTCTTACAGTGTCATTGTCATACCTCTGCAGATACTGCTTATGAGAAGAAAAGAAAAATTATGATCAAGAAATGGGTTAGTCGTTTGGAGTGACTTCACCCTGTAAATCTCTAGCTTCAACATTTGGTTTCTGCTTAGGTTGTCAGTGCCACCTGCAAATGAGAATAGTCCCTATTCTTTCTCCTCAGAACTTGATGCTTATTGGAGTGGAGGCCCTTCTGTATTACTCAGATTCACTTACATTTCTACAGTTGCTTCAGGAAGTTGTCCCTTAACATGTGTTACTCGATTCCGGATCTTAAAGATTTTTTTAAAAAGAAATTAATAATGATGAATTTGGAACTCTGATTGAATTACTGAATTAAATTAATTTTTTTTTAATCAGGAACTCATTAATTTCCATGATCCTTTACCCTTATCTGACATGTGGCATTCAATTTTACACATCAGACTTTCGGGGAAAAAACTTGATTGCCTGGAATGCAAAGAAATTCCACTTCACTACCATTTTGACATATATCCAAATTCATAAGTATTGGAGAAAGCAATTCATAAGTATTGCTCAACTGCGATAAAGTTCTGGAAAAACAGTTGACCCTCTTTTTCAGAATTCTTAACTAGTATTAAAACACTAGGAAGAGTGGCTATTTTTAATGCATCAATGGCATCACTTTCCAAGCCTGATGGTGTGGAACAATAGCAATGTGGGCAGGAGCTGAGGCAAGGCATAAGAATGTAAAATTAAATCTGAATTAGAGAGGACAGCAGCTATGGGGAGAACGGGTGCTAGGAGCAGACTGAGAATTAAAGTAAGGTGTGGGAGAAAAGACAGGAAGCTCTGTAATCAATAAGGTGACTCCTTTTAGAAGTAAATGTATTTTTCCCAAGTTTAAATGTTTGGATATTTTTATCATTTGCTGTCATATATGCTTCTTTTGAAACCTGGTCTCAAAGCACGTGTTTCCATTTTGCTTCAGTGACAGGTCCAGGTGGAAGATGGCACCATTCCTCTGCCACTACTTACTCCATTTGCTCAAAGGGTAGAGAACCGTCATGTGAAATTAAGATTCTGATATTGTGGATGTCCCATGTCGGGTGTCAGACAGTGCTGACAGAAATTGATTAAAACGCCTTGAAATTTTGCATGTGAAACTACATTACAATAATGTTAGCATTAAAAGACCAGGCACCTTTAACTTAGTTCCCTCTTTTTCTCACTATTGAAAGTCTAGTCATGCATTTGCATGCTGCTTTTCTGCAAGTTTGTGCTTTGCTTGGCACACTGGAGAATGTGTTCTGAGAATGCATTGGCACTGTTTAGTTAAGGACTTCGTTATCCTCGGCGCTGTTGTGTGTTGCCAAGTTGAGAGAACTGTAGTGAATAAGGCAAGGACTGATTTTTTGATAAAAGCCACATTTTCAGAGTGCCAGTTTTCTTGCCCTTTCTGTGATATATCCTACTACATGCTGATGGTACATGGACATTTTTGTAGATGACCATATGTGTTCCTCATATCTTGGGGCCTTAAGTTAGGTATTGAGACTTAATTTGCAGAAGGGTTGAGTATTCACAGCTGAATCTGAGGCTGTGGACAGTCTCAAACTGAATGTTCCAAGTTAACAGTGTTGCTGTATTGTTTGTCCAGCTGCCCTATATAAAAATTAAGAGTCATAATACCGGTTTCTTTCAGTTGAGTGCTTTGAAGGTAAAATTGATATTCTTTGAAAAGATCTAAATGACTGAAAGTGAGTGCTTTGAGAATAGGTGCACATATCAGGAATGGGAGCAGTCAGAAGGTGAAGAACAAGAAAAAGTATGTGGACATTCAATGCAGGGTGTGCAATAAATAACACGTGAATGCTGGGAAAAAAATGCTTAATAACTGCTCTTGAAAGAAGCGTACCCATTTGGCTCACTTACCAAAAGGTTGATAAGAAATGAGTGCAGTTTGGTATTTAACTATAAATAAAAGTTGTTGGAATGGTTCTACCTTTAAAGTACTTGATTTAACAACTTTGCTGCTTTTGCACAGGGATTTTATGGGTTATATTTTGGTTTGGATTTTTTGTTTGTTTCTTTGTTTTTAACAAACTTAACTTTATTTCTTTTCCCTTTTAGGTTCCCCCTTGACTGTTGATAGTCCATATCCTAATCTTAGTTTTTTGACAACACCTGGGCAAGGTGACACCTTCTTTTCCTTTGCTGGAGAAATGGAGAAATTTTTTTTCAACTAGGCTTTTTTATTTGCATTCAGATGAGTAATATTTACCTACTTTTACCCTAGGTTTACAACCTCCTAGTGTATCAACTCCCATGTTTCCTTCTGGGAATTCCATGTCTCACCCTGGTACATCTATTAGTGGAATGATGGGTCCCGAGATAGTATTTTCTGGAAGACACAATGGCATCTGCATATATTTCGCTCGGATTATAGGGTGAGGTGTTTGTATACAAAGAGATTCTGTCACTCAATTAGTTTCATAGTTTTTCTTTGCCTAATGCTTGTAGGTGGTGAATTCTATCTTAATAGCATTTAAACTTGAAATTAGTAAAGTGCATTTTTATGTTGTGTTTATGAAGTACCTGTTGATATAATACGTTCTCTTTACAGCTCTATTAATAATAATACTTTGTGCTGGTTTTGGCTGGGATAAAGTTAATTTTCTTCATAGTAGCTGGTATGGGGCTGTGTTTTGGATTTGTGCTGAAAACAGTGTTGATAATACAGAGAGGTTTTCGTTATTGCTGAGCAGTGCTGACACAGAGTCAAGGCCTTTCTGCTTCTCACCCCACCCCACCAGCGAGTAGACTGGGGGTGCACAAGAAGTTGGGAGGGAACACAGCTGGGACAGCTGACCCCAACTGACTAAAGGGATGTTCCACACCATATGACATCATGCTCAGCAATAAAAAACTAGGAGGAAGACAAAGGAAGGGGGGGATGTTCCGAGTGATGGCATTTGTCTTCGCAAGTAACCGTTATGCATGATGGAGCCCTGCTTCCCTGGAGTTGGCTGAACACCTGCCTGCTCATGGGAAGTAGTGAATGAATTCCTTGTTTTGCTTTGCTTGCGTGTGTGGCTTTTGCCTTACATATTAAACTGTCTTTATCTCAACCCATGAGTTTTCTCACTTTTGCTCTTCCCATTCTCTCCCCATCCCACCGGGGGGGGGCAGTGAGTTGAGTGGCTGTGTGGTGCTTAGTTGCTGGCTGGGGTTAAACTACGACATAAATTCCATGAATGGCTAGGACAGGAAAGTTGCTTAGACATTGATCCTGCAATCAAACGTATATGCACAACTCTGAAAACTGCGGTTTTATTTTTCAAACCTATGAGCTGTATGTTTCAAACTCCTACTAAAGGGTGAAATAGAAATGCAGAAGGACTTACAGGATCAAAGTCCTGGCTTGAAGTCTTTTCTGTTAAGAAGCTTTAAAAAGAATGCTCAAATCAGAGCAATGAAGCAAGACTAAAGAGGAGTCTGTTACTTGCATGTTGAGTCCTGTGTTACTCAACACCCCAAGCAAGAACAGAGCTCTTCATACGTTGGTCATCTCTCTGCTTGCTGGTTCAGGAAGAAATTTTTGTTATAACACTTGTTTGCCTACACTATATTTCCAGAAAATAATATTGGCTTATATTTAAAGTATTTGATAGCATCAAACTTCATTTGGTTGAAATTTTAAAATTTGAAATTTTGTTAATTACTGTATATGTACCATTCAGATAGGTATAGTGGTAACTTTTTTGAATGTTTAATTTTCATCCAAATTAAATCCTTATTTTAGACCTTGAAGTAAAAAGCATTACCATTTCTTTCTTAAGAAATTATACATAGAAGACTTGCGAAAATACTTGCTTAAATTACTTGGCTTTTAACACAGTACTGTTTTGTGTTGCAGAAATATTTGGGATGGCAGTATAGTTGTGGAGAGAGTTTTCAAAAGTGGCAATCGAGAAGTTGTTGCAGTATGTAAAAAATTATTTTGTATTTTTAAAAGTTCCTTGTAGTATATGTCTTAAGCCCTGTTATAATTCTGTTCCCAATTATAAACTGATAAGGAAAAGAACCGTCATTGTCATATGAAGGTTTTCTTAAGTGCTGCTGTCTTAACTAAGGAGTAATTGTAGGTTTTAAATCTTTTTAAGCTACTATTTTGAATGTTACTTTTTAAGAAACCTAACTGTAATTTGATCTCTGTCGTTAATTGGCAATGGCCAGTTTTCTCCATATTTAGTGACTGCACTTCCTTCATTTCTGCATACCCCCTCCAGACAAAGCCTAAAAATAGAATGCTTTAGTGTGTTAGGATAAACTTTGCAGTTATCTAAGGACATAAAAAAATTTTCAGCATCTTCCTGACTAACATCTTCGTGTTTCACTTTTTGTCCATGATCAAAATAACAAAATCTTTTCTGACTGTGGATGTTAATAGAATCCTGAACTGAGTAATTTCAGCAGTGTAAATTAACTGCTACATGAGCTCTGCTCCTCCAGTTATAAGGTAACTGGGAGACTCTGGAAGACCTTGGCAGTTATACTGTGTGTCTTAGCAATGCTCAATCATTGTTTTAGTTTGGAGTTGGAAATAGTAAGACACAGCTGATTTGGTTATCAGAGGGGCAAAGAAAGTAGCATTTTGAATACTGTGTCTCTTCAGAGGACTACTGTCTCTTCACATGTGTTCCCCCTCCTCAAAGACTGTGGTATAATAATGTTGTGTTCTAGCGATAGCATTACTATTATGCTATTTATTTGTTGTACCTTCTTTGTGTTTGTCTTTGTAGTGGCTTTAGCTTAAAATTGTAAATTTTTTGGAAAAAAGTTTGGAAACTAAGCTTTCTGTAAAGAAGTCTGCTTTCTTTTGCAGGTAGAAAGCAGTGTTCCATCCCATGTGCTGGAATGTGTGCTACAAGAACTAAAAGGTTTACAAGATTTTCTGGATAGAAATTCACAGTTTGCTACAGTAGGAGCCCTTGGAAACCCAAGGTATTATTCATTGTGTTAACTTTTACTAGTGGTATTTAATGTCCAGCTCTTGAAAAACTACACCATGTGTATCTGTGTTCAGTTGAAGTGTATGTATGGTCTCCAGCTTCAACTATTCAGATGCTAAAAATGAGTTGTTAGATTTTCTCTCTAAAAGATTCAGTATTTGTAATCATATTAACATCTCTTTTTATTTTGGAATTGCAGCTTCAGCACACCAGCCAATCTGCAACAGAGGCTGCTGGGTTTCATGCGGCCTGATGGTGGAAGTTCTCAGCAAGTCCAGCAAGAACTCCAGAGGAAATATCATGGTATGTAATTACTTTTGAACAGAAAGTATCAGGGAATGGTGCATTTGGATGTTGCCTTTCTCACTTTTCTTGTTTTTTAAGACCTCTGAATAAAAATGCCTTTTTTCCATACAAATTTACATTAATCAACATGCCATACTTGATAATACATTCTGCAGAAAAAGCCACTGTAGTTTGGAAACTAACTTTGCTAGCACCTTGCTTTTGCTTCCATACCATATCATACTGTTCCATCAGGAGCAGTGCTTCTACAGTGACATTGATGTGAAAGAATCTTTTACATACCACTGTACTGGAGATGAAGTATATACCCAGAATGAAAATCAAATCTAGATAGAGAAACATTCCAGCCTTTAGGCTGACTGTGTCAAGAGACTTCGTTTGTTACACGCTGCAGATGTTACCTTTCAGTTTGATATTGAAAATTTTAATATTGCAACTAATTAAAACAGTCCACAAAGGAGAATATCTCTCTGTGAAGAGAATCTGGATTTCAGCACAGTAACATCTAGTGGTCTTGAGCCACTGCAAAACACAAGTTTTATCTCTCAATTTATTAAGCTAAAATAAAAGTGCTTGAACTTTAAAGCACTTTTGAACTTCTCTCTCTCATACAAAGAATTAAATTTCAATTCTGTGTAGATACATGTCCTCTTATTTTCACCATTCAGACAATTCTGAAATACAAAACTAGAGGTTTCTTTGCACACTTAACTCTCCTTTTTTTTTTCTTCCTAATGTTCTCCATATTTCATAAGATTGTTTCATCTCCTCATTACAATACTTAGTAGCTGCACACCCATTTATATGTTCAGGATAGCAGTTGTTAAGCAGTTCGTTTGTGAGACAAGTGAGTATGTTTTCCTATTAAAAAGAAATACTGTACTACAAGTTGCCAATACTACAGTCCCTGAAATGTCTACAAAACTTTGGAAATAAAAGGCCTGTCACAGCGCCCATTTGAACTCATGTCCTCCTATAGCGTAGCTTTTGCCTAGCACTTGCGGGCAAGTTGGGGAGCGTTGCTGATCTGTATACAGAATTGAAGATGGTTTTGGTCCTTGTGGGTTTTGATTTTGACTTCTTTTTCTGTGCTGCTCACTTTCAATAGTGTGAATGTAAATTTGTTTTAAAAAGTCATTATGTAGAATTTGGTAGACATTTAATAATTTTATTTTTCATTCGTACGCATTCCAAAGCCCATAAACCCTTTTGGATTGCTAAATGACACAATATAATTACTGCTGCCTCATTTCTGAACTATAAGCACTCAAAAGTAAAGACATAAATAGAATCATAGAATCGTTAAGGTTGGAAGAGACCTCCAAGATCATCGAGTCCAACCGTCAACCCAACAACACCATGCCCACTAAACCATGTCCCTAAGCGCCTCATCTACACGTCTTTTAAATACCTCCAGGGATGGTGACTCAACCCCTTCCCTGGCCAGCCTGTTCCAATGTTTAACCACTCTTTCAGTAAAGAAATTTTTCCTCATGCCCAATCTAAACCTCCCCTGGTGCAACTTGAGGCCATTTCCTCTTGTCCTATCACTAGTTA